TGTTGGTCGTCGTCGATGACCTGGAAGCTATTGCACTAATAGACACTGAGGCGGACCTCCCCGTGGTCAGTAGCGTCCTCGCAAAGAAGTTGAAAAAGGTACTGACTCAGTGGACCGCACCTCAAATACGCACTGCCGGAGGGCACTTAGTCAACCCTGTGGGACTGTGCACAGCAAGAATAAGGATTAGAGGATTCGTGTACGTCGGAAGCATCATTGTTTTTTACGAGTGTTCCCGTGAGGAGATTGTAGGCATGGGCTTTCTGCAGGCTAATAGCGCAATCATTGACTTGCAAGATTTTAAAGTCTCCTTTTCTACAGAAAACGCTGTCGCAATGTCTCAAATGAAGCAACCAGCCATTTCACCCCTCCATATTGTGGATGAAGGCAAGACCATGCCGCTCAGTTCAAGTGTGACAGTGCTTGTGAAAAGTGGCAGATTTGGTGATTATGAGGAACTAGTGGATCGAAACATTGGACTGCTAATCAAAAAGGGAATATGTGGGGCAAGAGGTTTGGTGAACCTTTATAATGGTTGTGCGGACGTCCTATTAATCAACATTGGCAGTGGGTGCAGCATGTGGTGAGGGAAAGAGCCATAGTATAGTGAATTAGATAGGGGTAGTGGGACGAGGGCGGTCCTGCTGGTTTTAATGGTGATACTTTGCGCCTCTGGCATACTCGGAACAACTTGACATAGTGCTGCTGTACATTAACTATGGCAAATAATACCTGTGGTGGATTCTGGCTAAAATTCAGCTAACACCCGAATTCCCAGCTGAAGAATCATCATGATAGGCTTCTAATATTTCCGCTCGCAGTGACAATGGTATGAGACGCAGAAGTGTCTCGCCACTGTGTTCGAAGTTTCGCTTGTAGAAGAGATGTCATTCCGCAGAGCATAGAAACGTAGTCCATGGACGAAAACTAGCAGTACCTTTGGTTGTTGACCCTCCAAGTATTAGATAAAGGGGAGCAGCTCCGGATCCATTCGCTGATGATGGGCCATCTCGGACACGTTGAGAGCTCCAAGAAATGATAAATCTTCTTCATGTTTAGAAGATGAATGCTTAACTGGTCCACGTGACAGACAATCTGCATCATTGTACTTGAGGCTGGATTTGTACACAACTGTAATGTCATATATTTGGTGACGCAGGCTCCATCTAGCAAGTCTTCCTGAAGGGTCCTTTAGATTTGCCAGCCAACACAATGAGTGATGGTCCCTGATCATCCTAAACGGTTTGCCATATAGATATGGACCGAGCTTACTGATGCCCCATATAATTTCCAGGCATTCCTTCTCTGTAGTTAAGTAATTGGACCCAGCATGAGATAGGGTGCGCCTTGCGCATGCAATAACTTTTTCCTGTTCACTCTGCCATTGAATGAAGATGGTGCCAAGGCCAACGTTAGTGGAGTTGGTATGGATGTCCATTTCGGCATCTTCATCAAAGTGAGCCAGAGTAGGAGGAGAGTGCGAACGGTATCGCAACTAAGAGAAAGTATTTTCTTGTTTTTCCTGCCAGATGAATGGCACACCTTTTTTTGTAAGCTGTGTCAATTGTTCAGCTAGCTTGGGAAGTTTTCAACGAAGCGTTTATAGTAATCACGGAGTCCCAGGAATCGTCTTGTGGCCTTTTTGTCTTGTTGCTTTGGAAAGTTTTCGACAGCTGTAATCTTTTCGGGATCTCGACGGACACTTTCAGCACTAACAGTGTGCCCGAGGAACCGATGCTCATAAAATCCGAAGTGGCATTTCTACAGTAGTCAGTGCTGCCACGCAAATGACATCTAGTGCTATCCTTAGACGGTGGATATGCTGCTCAAAGGTAAAACAAAAAACTACTACATCATCGAGATAGACGAGGCACAATGGCCATTTAAGTGCGCAGAGGACAGTGTGCATCATCCTTTGGAAGGTTGTTGGAGCAGAACACAAGCCAAAATGGAGTACTTTGAACTCGTATAGACCATTGGGTGTCACAAACGCCATCTTCTCGCGATCTCATTCATTCACTTCGATTTGCCAATATCCGCTTTTTAAATCCAATGATTAAAAGAAATGAGCATTTCATAGCTTGTCCAGGGTATCATAAATTCATAGTAGTGGATAAACATTCCGCTTCGTGAAGAGGATCAGCTTTTTGTAGTCAACACAAAACCTGAGGGTATTGGCCTCCTTTCATTGTGATAGCAATTATATGGACATTCTCTGCTGGATTTCGCCGCCAGCGTTGGCGTCGATATCATGCATCGTATATGTATACGTATAAATATATATATATATATATATATATGTGTGTGTATGTATGTATGTATATATAAAAATGCAAGAAAGAAAGAAAATGCAGAAAAAAGACTCTGGCGCACGGAATCGAACGTGGGACCTCCACGTTAACCACTGAGCCACCGAAAGGTACCTCCTTCAGCGGTCAAACGGCAAGCTATTATATCTACCACTTACCGCTGTTGGCAGGCGCCTCGGGGGAGGGGGGGGGGACTATTGCGTTTTCAGCATTACCAGCAAGATGGCGCAGTGAGCGCGCGGCAGCTCTCATTTCTCACGCGTACTTTAGCCCGCGTAGAGAATAAGGGGGTGTACGCTTGATTGCGCGGCCTTATCTTGCAGTGGGGAGGATCGTATGTCTTGGCTAGCGTTTGGGTTTTGCAGGAATGACTCTGTTGTAGTTACCGGACGCACAAAGGTCACTGCAATTGTTGCACAGCCTCTGTTTGCGAAAAGGGCGCGCTTTTGAGACACAGCAAAGTAACAACTGAGACACTTATTCGCGTTCATCTACACCTGTGAGTACGTTTCGTGCGTCATTTGTGCATAAGAAATGCGAGGCACGTTTCAATCTTCTTGCCATTCTGCACGTCATCTTCTAATTTGTTACTATCGCGTTCATTGCTTCGCCTTTGCGGCAAGGCTGTGACTTTTTTTTACCAATATCTCCGGTGATGCCCAGGGACTATGTTATGGCTGCATTACATGTCTTTGAGAATTTCTTGTACTTCTTTCCTTATGGGTCCCCATTCTTTTAGAGCTATTTGTTACTATCGCGTTCATTGCTTCGTCTTTGCGGCAAAGCTGTGACTTTTTTTACCAATATCTCCGGTGATGCCCAGGGACTATGTTATGGCTGCATTACATGTCTTTGAGAATTTCTTGTACTTCTTTCCTTATGGGTTTCCGTTCTTTTAGAGCTATTCAGTATGGGCGCTGATGCACCGGTTTAACATTTTCTTCGACCGCATTTTGGCTTGTGTTCTGCCCCCCAACCTTCCAAAGGATGATGCACACTGTCCACTGCGGACCTTAATGGCAATTGTGCCTCGCCTATCTCGATGATGTAATTTTTTCTTCTACCTTTGAGCAGCATATGCACCATCTAAGCATAGTACTAGATGTCATTCGCGTGGCAGCACTGACTATCAAACCGCATAAATGCGAGTTCGGATTTTATGAGCTTTGGTTCCTCGGGCACACTTTTAGTGCTAAAGGTGTTTGCCCAGATCTCGAAAAGATTACAGCTGTCGAAAACTTTCCGAAGCCAAGGGACAAAAAGGCCATAAGACAATTCCTTACAATTCATTACAATACAATACAATTCATTAGAATACATGGCACTTTACAAACACACATACACAGCGCAAGAACAAGGATGGGCGCTGTTCTTGCTCTTGCCCCTTTGTATTCTAATATATTTGTGCATCATTGTCAAAATTCAATGCCCTTGCATAATATGTTCCTTTTTTGAGAACTAGATAATGTTGCTTATTATAAAGACTGATTAACATGTTTTGGGTGGTGGTTTTTGGCACAGTAAAAGGAGGAGTTGAAACGTCCACAGTGCAAGGAAGTGTCATTGTTACCAGTACAACCCCTCCCTCGTTCTACGTCAATGGAGTATTAACAAATATTTTCAATACCACTTGCGTTATGCACATTTCAATTTAATACAGAGCTTGACTATGAAATGCAGACCTCTCGTCATTACCATCATTGTGACATATAACACATTGCAATAAGATTTGCTGATCCCATCCAGAAGTATACCGATGATGCTAATAGATAAAGTAATAATACTTAACGAGTGCTGTGGACATTTCTTCTGGCTTTTGCACTTGCCCACAGCATCTGATACCAATCACGGGAACAGAGCAAACCAGTGTATTATGACATCACGAAAGCCTCAATTTGGATACCACAGACTAAAATGTGCTGTCTCCACCATTGCATGCAATACTAGGCCTGTGTTCATAATTTGATGAAGACCTGGGCTTTCGTTGTATATAGCAGTCAAGTGCATGGAGAATGGAAGAAATGTCACAGTGTGTCATTGTTTAGCTCTGAAAGCACTTGAACTGGTTAGCCTTAGTTTCAAATAGAAACTTTTGCCTGATTGCTGGTCATAGTGGCTTGTTTTGAATATATGTGCTCATCGCAGTAAAGTAAGCAGCTTCACAGGAGGTCAGTCTTTATTTTTGAATAATTTGAAATTCTGCAAAATAAACTGCAGGATGCATTTTGTGTTCGATTGATTGATATGTGCTGTTTAATGTCCCAAAACCACCATACAATTATGAGAGGTGCCATAGAGGAGGGCTCCGGAGATTTAGACCACCTGGGGTTCTTTAACCTGCATCCAAATCTGAGCACCTGAGCCTACAGCATTTTCACCTCTATAGAAAACGCAGCCGGCATTTGATCCTGCGACCTGCTGGTCAGCAGCCGAGTACCTTAGCCACTAGACCACTGCGGCGGGGCATTGCATCTTACACCAGGACTAGCAATAACTATAATTAGCTAGTAGAAAAGAGTAAACACAATTTACAAAGAACAGTCATCAAGAAATTTGCCTCATGTAATAAATTACATCTAGTGACATTTGCCTTTACAGCGCTGAAATTGCATGCTTCGATTTGTTGCCGTTATCAGTTTCTGAAGGCATCTTCCCCCCCCCCCCCTTTCTGTTTTTTTTTTTTTTTTTTTTGTGTGTATTAGTGCACTGTGCAAGATGTCATTGACATGACCTGTCAAGAAGTCAGAAGTTACTACTTCTCCAAGTGAGTTATATTGCTTTTAAAGAATGCTGCTTGATTTTTTTTTTATGTACTAATTTCCTGCTTACGATTATTCCAGGACAAGCATTCAAAAGCCCCTAGAGTAAACCTTGACGGGCACCGCATAGCATTGGGTAGTACGTTGCATTGCCAGTAGAGCTTGACATGCCCCACCTGTGAAGAAAAAGGCCTTGAAGAAGATTTTTCTGCAGTACTTCAATCAAATATACTTGAGGACATTGCTTTCGTAGGCATCGAATGTTGTGCTTTGCATTTTTATGTTGCATTCCATTGTATATGTTCCTTGGCACCAGTCTGACCCGGTGACCTCACACTAATTAAAGTATTTATATTAAGAGGTAGCTCTGTGACATTTTGACTTAAGTATAAGAAATTAAGTGTATGATTACTGAAACCAATAAGGAACTGTATATCACAGAGTGTGACCAGTGTCGCCACAAGCTAGTCGTGCCTAGTCAATGGTACTCTTTCAGTTGTGAAATTCTAGTCTTAGGTACCTTAGCATATTATAGATTTTCGAAACCTATGCTGTTCACATGCAAAAAAAAAGGAAAATAACACCACGTCTTCATGCTTCCAGGAGTATTTTCTACATTGCTAACTTGCTCAATTTTGTGTTGTGATGATGGAAGTAGCTTGCAAAGGGCAGTTTTATTAAAAAGTTTGAAATTTTCCCGAAATGGATATCAAATTTCAACATACAATCCATTTAACATAAATTTGGCATATCTTATTTTCACATTAAACATTTTACCTCTTGTGCAAGGTTGTGCTATGCGAGATGTATATCCTGGTTTGCTTTAAAAAGACCGTTCACTTGTAAACCAACATGAGACCTGCAAATTTATACCCCTTATATATTAAATGCATAGCATTTAGGATAATTATTTTGCAAACCATAGATATTGTGATTTAAGGCAAAAGGAATTTTGTGTGTTTACAAGTACAACCTCTTATTAAACCTCGCAGCTCTACTTCTCCAACAGTCTAGATTATTCAGATCCTCTCCACAATATCAACAATGTGAGATTTGTATCAGGTACAGTTGACTTTAGCTGGAACTTCAGTGCAAGTGCCTGATGACAGTGCTTTGGCAGTATAAGGTATACATTATTAGTAAATACTAAACATATTGTGTACTTCTTCCATCACCTTGAGATTCCTGCAGTGTCTGCAGTACTGTGGACTCACCTTTTCCACAGCATCTCCATTACGTAGTCCTTCCCCTGACTTTCTCTTGCCACTGAACGCAAGGATCACCTTAGGGTTGTCGGCCATTGCCACCAAAGAACGAGTTCACTTGGAACGTGTTCATGAACATCTTAAATAACTAAAGAGTTGTGCATCAAAATGAGATCACAGGTGTGAAATGAAATAATGTTTTGTGTGTACGCACTGCTTTTTTGTGTTTCTTGCATCCGTTTTGGTGCACAGAACTATATTGCCACTGAAAGTATTTATCAGATGTATACTTTCCACACAGCATAAGGAAAATAATTTTTTTAATATATGGGACGCTGGGTAAGAAATGAACAGGTAAGCCTAGCCACTGCAGTTTCTTGTGCCTCTTGCCTCTGAAATTTAGAGCTCATTGTCAAAGATGCGATGCTTGAGCTTGGGAGCAGTTATAGGCAAAACTAAACGGCTGAACGAGGCGAAACTCCTGTTTGCAATACTTTAAATAATGACACATTCTAAACATTGAGTGCGCCCAATAGTATGTGCTGTTAATTGTACATTCCAGTGCGGAAGTAGGCGAAAGTAATAGCAAAATCACTTCATGACTGAGTTTTATTGTGCGAGTAATTGGCTGTTAAATAGAATTAGCTGTAAAGATGCTGCATATGTTACACCAGCTGCACCTCTAAAAACAGGAATTTAAGTGAAACCATCGTTATTCTTTAGGTAAGACGGAACAGTAGGACGATACTAAACCACCGTTACACGTAAGTAAGTTCAGTAAGCAGCATTGTGTGAATAAAATGCAATGCGAGAAGGAAGGAGTGGTATATCTTTGCCATCGCTCTTACCAACATCGCGGTGAAGCTGCCTTTTTTTTTGTATGACAAAAAATATGTGCAACTAGCCATCACCCGCTTGAGGTCGCACAGTAGTTGGCATAGCAAGAGTTTGGTGTAAATGATCACTCACTATTTAGTGGAAGGTGTCAGTCCTTTCTTTGCGACTCGGTGAATTGGTCAGTACAAAAACCCAGAACCAGCACAGCGTTGAACCACGAAAACTAGCATGGAAAGCAGGAGCCCATGACCTTCGATCAATGCTCATGCATGCAGTTTGTTTACAATTTCGCATCAGCCGCAGCTGCGATTATTTATGTTCTGTTCCACAACATACTTAACTTCCAAGATCGAAATTAAAGATATTCGCCTTAGTTGTTTTAAACTTTCAATCTGGCAAAGTGCTGTATATGCAACTATCTTTATGTGGATTCACACTTGAAAAAGCACATGAAAATATCACTTTGATGTGCACGAGGTGTTGATTCTAAATGGCATGCTTGTCAAGAGCCACATCCAAGAGGTCCAACACCCATTTTGTCATATATATTTAACTTTTGACAAGCACACCTTCGATCAATGCTCATGCATGCAGTTTGTTTAGAATTTCGCATCAGCCGCAGCTGCGATTATTTAGGTTCTGTTCCACAACATGCTTAACTTCCAAGATCGAAATTAAAGATATTCGCCTTAGTTGTTTTAAACTAGCTGATTGAGTGCTTTTCACTCCTTCATTTATTTGAATTCACTTTCCTCAGCTATATGTAACCTGAAGCAACGCGTCATTTTCATGCAACATTCACGCGAAAATCAATCATAGTTCCTCGAATTTATTTAAAAAATTCACTTGTGGCAATGTTTCACAATAAATTTTGAATGTACATGTTCCGGTATAGATACATTATTTGTAATTGTGCATACATATATAATTTTTGTTCACTAGCACAGTGGTGTTCTCTTAATATTTTAATTATTGGTATATATGATCTATATATCATGTCAACATATATGTGTGTATCAGTTCGATTTATCAGAGTACTCTTTTATTTCCACATTGAAATTATCAAGTTTTTTCTTTGCATATATGCGCGCCTTTTTATCCTCCTGCACATATCTTACCTTTGATGGTCTAAAGATCAACACTGACATTTATCTCGACGTTGTCATGTTAAAATAACCAATATTATTTCTTGCCATTCTTGGGTAGACGAACTGTCAATCACATGTGGCACATAACCACATACTGCAATATATGTGTGCCACACATCTTGAAGAAAGGGTTTGACGACAAAAGCGATGAGATTGCGGAATTATAATGACCATGCGTGCAATCACATTCGTGAAAGCATCTTACTCTCCCATACTAATTTGGTTTACCCAAAGCTAAGGGATGGATGGATGGATGGATGGATGGATAGATAGATAGATAGATAGATGGATGGATGGATGGATGGACGGACGGACGGACGGACGGACGGACGGATGGATATAAACAGACCATTGAAGTTAATTTTTCCTTCTTAGCCAAATGAACACTTAGTCAATTGAATTTTTATAACGTTATCAACTCAATTTCCAGCCCTGTTCGGTTATAGGTGTACATATAAATCAATAAAACGGCAGTAATTATTTGTACTGAAAGGTGCATGCAATGTAAAGTATCTTTTAATTCAAATTCAAAATAAACTTCCCTTATCGAGATGGAAAGCGGAGCTGGAGGTACAGATATTGTCACAATCATAGAATAGCACCGCAGTCATTACACAAATGCATATCCACACATGGGGAAGGGCCGATCGTGCATGCATTTGAAAACAACGTACCATTTGTTTGGCTTCACTGCACGACAAAAGTGTCACACGGTGAAGCATATTTGCTTTGCAGTAAAGCATATTTGTTGTGAGCATACCGAAAGCGGGGCGCCCTGATGTATACAACTTGTAGGAGCTTCTTGCGCGAGCTCCCTCTAAGTTGAAACAGCGCGATTGAATGCGAACAGAAGAGAACAAGCACATACACCCACCCAGAATAAACTTCCTTGCTGCACGATTAGATCGAAGGTGTGCCTGTCAAAAATCTAACTATATATGTAACGAAAGGTATCTGACCTCTTGGGTTTCTCATGGCAAGCAGACTAATAAGAGTTAACATCTCTTGCGCATCAAATTGATATCTCTGTGTGCTTTTACAGGTGTGAATGCACAGACAAACGCACGAATTGTAACCTGAGGATTCAGGGCTAAGTAACGCACATTTTTTCGCTTCCACCGTTTTCAACTCTGGTCACAACGATGCAATTTTGACTCAAACGAGTAGATCAAAGTCAACATTATCTCTAGAGATCATATTTGTGATTACATGACGTGATTATCTCAAGCTATCGTGCATACAAGTATGATAAACAAACTAGCCTGCCAACGCGCTTCAGCTAGCTCACATACTTATATATAGTTCGATGTACATGTACATCATTCGTCAGACATTCAGAACCGCTTCTCATCTGACGATATAATTCGTGCAGTATCGATTGTCATGTTTGTTCATGACAGTACACCGTTTTATGAGAAAGGTGGCCATATAAGCTGACGTTTAAAGGAGAAACGAGCGTTATCGCGGAGGCTCACGTTGGGAGCACAGTTATAAAAACTGTGTAAGTAACCCGACTCCTGGTACGTGTCATACACACAAATAGTCTCAAACAATCTAGAAGTTTCTCAAACATTCTCGCACTGCCTGCACCGATATATTTTTCATGGTTATATCGATCATATGAAAAGAAATGAGCGAGGAATATAACCGCTACTGTATGCAACCAAATCTCTTTTAACGACTCACAACTTTTCTACACGTAGCCACCGGGAAAATAAACCATAAAAATTAAGTCATAAAATAAACTCGGCTGTTATAATTAATACAGTTGTGATAGTCATGTTGTTTTTACAACATCATGCTGTTAATTATCGCCTGTACATATTCGATCCTTGCAAAACTTGTTTCATTTGCAGTATAAGTTCGTTTTGCAACAATATGTCTGGATGCAAAGTGCATCTTGGGTTCTCTTGAGAGAACCCAATATGCACTAAGCATGCAGTTTATATAGCTGCAATTAATATAAAAACATGGTTCCCTGATTAATCAACTGCAATAACTTTTGTTCTGCAGCAACGATGTACATGTATGTGCACAGTACAAGTTAAGAGATATGTGACCATACTTGAAGTCATCTGCCAGTATTAACTAAACATATACTACTGCAGTTCTCTGCAAATCTGATTCCTTCTGAAATGTATATTGAAAGTTTTTTTACCAATTAAATACCTAG